AGGGTAAATTCTTCCTAATCGGGCAGTCGAGTGGGTTCGCCATCGGTGTCCCGGCATGGGCATGGGCAGGATTGTGTGAAGTGTGGTTGTGGTTCTCCCCCTCCCATCACTGACCTCCTCCCACTCCCCCGTCTCCCCATCTCGCCATCCTCGCCCTCTCATAGGTTCGATCGGACCAATCAGTGCTCGGTGCCTGGGCGTAAAAACTCACTCCTCGAACTCCCTGACTCCTGCGTTGGTGTGCCCCTCTTTCGACATGTCTGATCAAGCTCCGTGGCTAGCGATTGGGCGCCCCGCTTGTTTGGTGTAGCGTTTAGTGCAGTGTGCCTGAGCCCTCATGGAATCTGGCTCCGACTGGCGTGTGCGTGGGTGTGTGTGGGTGTTTGTGCCTTGCACGGTACCTTGCTGGGCTGGACCATTGATCGATTAAATCCCCGGATCAGGCGGTGTACACCCACTATCGGACAGTACAGCACAACGCAGCACAACACAGTACCGCGATCCGGTCAATGTTCGATGTTGTCAGGTACCGGAACCCCGCTGGGCGCACGTCCTGTCCTGTCCTGTCCTGTCCTGTCCAACCCTGGTCCAAATTGTCTGTCCCAACCTTCAAAATACCCGGAACATCTGAAAGGAATGATGCGGATGCATCCCGCTTACACGACCACGACATTTGGACAAAAGACTTGGGCCAATTCGGGAAGAAGGAACATAAAATTGAATACACTCAGTCAGCACCGAGCCGACTTGAGTCAAGTACACAACCAAGAAACACCAACAGACGCAGCACGACCTCGTACCGAGACCTCCGCATGGCGCCACAACTGCGCTTGGTCTGGTGTCCGGTGTACCTCGGACGAAGTACACCACACGATGTCTTCGTCTTCGTACCATGTTCATAGTGTAGGGAGTGTACTTCGTACTGAGGAGCGTCTAGTCGGTTGGGGTGTCCGTCCGGCGGCAAGACGCAAGACCAGGTCGAGTCGGGCCCCTCTTGACCTAGATCCATCTGATCGATTGATTCAGGGTCTGCCGGCGCCCGGCGCATTCACTACCGCTCTATGTTCCCTTCGTGCAGCCCTCTGCTCTGCTCTGCACCTTGCTTCTTGCCACACATAAGTAGATGGTCTCTCCCTCCCCTCCTCTACCCCGTTTTCCTTTTCTTCACTTGCATCCACGGCTGGTTTCTGTTTTCCTGCAAAATTAAGAGAAGAGGGTAAAATTCCTGGTTCCTGGTTCTTTGAATCGGTTTCTCTCCTTTTCGATTGTTTCATTCCAAACATTCTACATTCCTTTTGATGCTGAGCGTCAGTCCTTTCGCCTCGCCATCGTGATCCAACTTGGTCTGCAGCAACTTACACCATCATTATATTATCCGGCTCACTCTTCCTGACTGCGCCCCCAGTCTTACCCAACTTTTGCGTATCTCGGCTACGACCAACAGGAGATATCTAGTCCAACTGCATATCTGCATATCTTGTTGGGCCCCCATCCAGTCCTCGGAGCATTGCTACCAACAGACGAAACAATACAATCCTTCCAGAGCAAAGAGGATAGCAAGAACAAAGAGATATATCATCTGCTTTGTCTCTTTCTCATATCCGAGTCCTTCCTTTCTCTCCCCGGGTTTCTCCCAATACAGTTCTTCAAGTCTCGTTAGACACGGGAACATTCTTTCCTTCCGGCTGGGATCCCAATTTCCATTCATTTGACTCCACTTATACAAGAACGCTGTGCTCGTTCTACCACAAACCTCAAGATGCATCTCACCAACAACCTCGCAGTCCTCTCCACCGCCCTTTTGGCCCTTAGCGGTACCGTGTCGGCTGCCAACATCAACCGACGAAGCCATCGATACAACAAGTGGTCCAAGCCAGAGGCCGCCACCACCACTCACTGGGTGACCGTCTACGAGACTCACACCGTCACTCTCAAGTCTCCCGAGGCCGCCGCCCAGAAGACGGTGTACGAGAACCTCAAGCCCAGCGCTGACAATGCCCCCGCCGCGGTCCCTACCACCCTGGTCGCCCAGCCTGCTCCCGCTGCCGAAACCCCTGCCGTAGTTGAGGAGGAGCAGCAGCAGCAGCAGCAGCAGCCTCAAAACGACACTCCCGCCGTCGTCCAGGACTCCTCATCCTCCCAAGCCACCGTCAACGTCCAATCCGTCAACAACGCTGCCCAGTCCCCATCAGGCGGAAAGCGAGGCTTCGCCTACAACGACGCCAACCTCGTCAACAACCTCGTCAACGGCGGCACCCGCGGCTCCTGGGCCTACAACTGGGACTCCGTCAGCAACGGGCTCTCCAGCGGCGTCGAGTTCGTGCCCATGCTCTGGGGCGACCGGGCCGATCACACGGACCGCTGGGCCGCTAACGTCGAGAAGAGCTTGAGCGAGGGCGCGAGCCATATTCTTAGCTTCAATGAGCCCGACCACGCAGCGCAGGCTAATCTTTCGCCCGAGGCTGCTGCTGCTGCTCATGTCAAGTACGTTAACCCGTACGCTGGCCGCGCGCGCATCGGTGCCCCTGCTATCACGAACAGCAACCTCGACGGCCAGGGAACTAGGTGGTTGAAGAGCTTCATGTCGGCGTGCGAGTCGGCGGGTTGCAAGATTGACTTTTGCGTCGCGCATTGGTACTCGCCTGCCGATCAGCCCCAGTCTCTCATCGATCACCTTAACGAGGTCCATAGCATCTGTGGAAACAGGCCCGTTTGGCTCACCGAGTTCGCTCCCCTTGGCAGCGATGACCAGAATGCCGAGTTCCTCAGGAATAACCTCAACAGGCTCGATAGCGAACTGAGCTATCTTGAGAGGTACTCGTACTTCATGGTCAGCGTTGGAAGTCTCATGTCCTCGGAGAACAGCCTCAGCGCTCTCGGCCAGGCTTTCTTCGGTTAGAGACCTTTGCCTCGTTGATGAACAACACTCTTTTTTCATTTTACAAGTTCAATGGGCAGAAAACACTATTTCGATTCTTGTATGCACATTTTTACGAAAAAAAACCTCAAGGCTAGGTATATGAAGGGACGTTAGCTTTTCTTTTAGAAGGAGTCGGAAAAGGGCCGGTACACGCCTTGGTCTTTTTTCCTTTTGGATTTTTTTGGGGATTTTGATACCCAGTTTTGTACATAGATATTTTCTTCTTTTCTTTTTCTTTTTTACACTTTCTTCTGGATGTCGCAAACTCCTTTCTGCACTCCAAGTTCCAAAAGGGAATCTCGCTTCCCATTTCGTCGCGCCTCGGTCTATCTCGACCACCGGGGCGCGCAAATCTTCTTACCACTTCTCTGTCCACATATTCTTGTCACTCGTTCATATTCGAACCACTTTACTTCTTCTTCTTCTTCTTCTTCTTTTTTCTTGAGACTAGGGTAGGGAAACGCTTGGTTATAGCCTGGATGAGGGATAGAGTACTTATGACTTCTATGAAAAAACACAAGAACATTCGCCCAATTTGACTTTCACCTCTTGTGAGGCCCCAAGAAAACCATGTGAATGGCGTGGAGACTGTCTCCGGCCATGTACAAGACCCTGTTCTCAGATCGACGTTTTACATGGGCTTATTCAGTTCTATGTGGGGTTTGACTCACCCTGTTGCCTCCGGCGTCTTACACTAGACTTGGGGCGCTGTTGCGTGGGCAGGCCTACTTACTTGCATGATGCTTTTGAGGGTGTCGTGGGTCGAGAGTGCTTTCGGCGCTTGGTGAAACGGAGCGAATGGGACCTTTTTGAGCTTTGGCGTCTTTCCCCCTCCCAAATGCGGCCTGACGCAATGAGGCTCGGATAAGACCCAAGAGAGGTTCTCCAATACATTGAACGTGAGCACGAGATAGAGAAGAAAAAAGGAGCGAGAACATGTCGCACAATATTTCTCTTTATCGCACTATCGGTCATTTTAACTAGCACTCGAACCCGATCAAAACTAGAGCCGGATATTCCAACAATTCAGGTCTCCCTGATTTTCAGGATGAGATCCCCTCTCGGCCTCCTTTCACTCCTTTGACTCTATGCCGCGCAAAAGAAAAAGAAAATACAACATTCGAAGCGTGTCAGGATAAAATAAACCTTTAAATAAGGTTAATGGGCCAGAGGCGCTGTGAACAATATGCCTCCGAAAATGTCAATGTGTTTCTTTGACAGAAGCCCCCTCCATCCATGAGTGGGAATTAGGTCTGTCAACATGTCGGTGAACGGACGAGGAAGTAGGAAGATGTTTGAACTGAATCTTCGAGGGTTATGGGCCCAAGGTGCTTTCCTCTTTCCTTCCTGTCGAGTTGTCCTCGGGCCTGTATTTCGACTCCCGAAGCCGTGAAAGCTAGACAAGTCTCAGAGCCAAGGCCACAAGAAGGGGGAAAAAGGCTGAATAACCATCTAAATAAACAAGATATTTTCAATAATGGTAATAAAAGAAGGTAAATCCAGTCGATCAATCGCACAGGTGTGTAGCATCGCGCTAATGAAAAAAAGTTCGTGTCGTATCCAGAAAAAAGAAAGGAAGCCTCCGGGTCAAATCAAGATTTCGACTGCTCTCGTGAAGCAGAGAAAAATAAAAGAAGATTGCCCGGAAGATGTTGCTAATGAGTCGCCCTGAACGCCATGCAATGCCATTTCGAACCGGAAAGGACCGTATGTAAACGCAGAAAACATGTTTCCGAGCCAGAGTGTGAGCTGCAAGGAGAAGAAAGAACGTCGTATCGTACCGAAAACACAAAACGTGAGAGAACCGAGGCGCAATGATGAGAAAAATAAAAACGCCAGTCTATATCCGAAGGCATACCAAAAGGTCCCTGACCTTAAGTTTGTCCATCAACTGAATATTATAACCCGTCCGCATGCTGTAAAATGCACCACATAAAACGCAGCAATTAAGTGCGCTCACCCAATGCAGATAGTAGATAGAGGGAAAGATAAAGGGAAGATATCTGAGATCTTCTGCTCAAGAGCCGGTGCCGTGGGTCCGCAGTACGGCTGCGGGGGCGCGTCTTGAGCTTAAACCGAATCACTCTCGATTGTCAGGCGACTGTGGCCGTGTTCGAATGCGGAACTTGTCTCGCAACTTATCGGCCAGCCTACTCCGGCGACCACGATCTGCCGTCTCACTTCCTGTCGTTGAGGAAGGATGTACCTGAGAATGGCGGAACTGCCGAAGGGCCTGAATTCGCTCCTCGGGCGAAGCGTGGCCGAGTCTAGTCAAGTCGAAGAACCTCGAGGCTCTGCTTCGTTGGGTTGCCGAAGCCGCGTCGTTGTCCGAATCGTCAAGGTCGAGGGGTGGGGGCATCTGGGTCTCATCGACTTGGACACCGTCCTCTTTCTCGCCAGGGGGACGCAAATCGAGACGGCTAAGGTTGGGTGACATGTTAGCATGAGCGAGTTCACCACTCTAAATTATCACAAACAGAGAACAAGGGCACTCTTACCAAAGAGGACAGGTTCCGGACACATTCATCAACCAAGGATCGATACATGCTGGGTGGAACTTATGGTTGCACGGCAGAACCCGCACGTCCTCTCCAACGGCAAAGTCATCAGTACAGATGGAGCAGCCCAGGTGTTCATTTTCATTGGTGCTGGTCTGAGCCATAGTGGTAGAGGAGGCGGGACTCCTCGTCGTTGTCGTGTTCTTCGGCGCGGGCACGGTGTTGGCCGCAGCGGCGGGGGGTGGCGTCGCTATCGTCGTCGCGGGCATCGAGACCTGCAAGGCCGCTGGAGACGGAGATCGAGGAGTGCTCGGAGAATCCCGACTGCGAGTTTGGAACTCCAGGTCCGGATCAGGTTTACCTGGCGGTGGGCCGCCAAACTTGATGATTGGAAGTGTATCGAGCACTGCTCGGGCAATCCCCTTTGCGCGACTCTGGCGCGGGCGGCCTTCGTACCCGCCTCTGGGACCATATCTTTCAGGGTATCGATGAGCACGAATGGTTCCGGTGGCTATAATGACGAGGAAAAGCACAGTCACTAGGCCTGTGATACTGTAAAGCACGCTCATGGCGACAGCAGAGTTGTTTCCTCCATCGTCGCCCTCGGCGTTGGGTATATCTTGCGTAGTGTTGCCAGAGATGCTAACTTGAACGTTATCTTCCTCCGTCGTGCCGTTGAGGAACGCCAGTGTTTGTTCAGCCTCGCCCGAGTCAAGGATGGAGAAGACGCTTTCATATGCCAAACCATCTCCCTCGAGGGAACAGATATTGCCGGCGAGGGTGTAAAGGACTATGGCGAGAGGGTTGGTGGCCATGACGGTATTGATAATTTCGTTTGGGGTAGGACTGGTATCGCTGCTCGGTTGGTCGCAGGACAGGTAGGCAATCTCTTCGATCGGGTCGTCTTTAATCTGCTGATAATTGCTCGAATCAACAAGTATCATATGTCCCTCGATTAAGATGGTCTAGATAGAGAGGGAAATGATTAGCCAAAAAGCGAAGACGAACGGTAGCTCGGAGAACATAGAAGCAGCAACTCAAGCATTCGGCGGGGTTAACAAAGGGAGTGCATCGCGAGCCATTTCTTCGTCTCCGGTTCTGCTCCCTCCCTTGTCTGTTTCCCATGCGCCTCTGCCATTATGGGGTCTTCTTTTCTCGGGCAATGGTGTGTTATAGAGAAACATACTCCTCTCTCGTCGTCAGTCTTGTTGAGACCCCTCGTCGCAGTCAAAGGAACGACTGTGTACTGGTATGGGGTGAGCTCGCCGCCGCCAAAAGTCGATAACCTCATGACCATGGCGGAGTTGCTGACCCAATCGGGAACATCGACCTCGGATTTGATTCTCGCATCTTCGGCTGCGGCGAACGGGAGGGAGGTGAGGGCTAATGCGGACAGTATTAAGGTAGAAGCCATCTTCGTAGCGCGGGCAACGGTCGACGTCGCCATCTCGTGCTAGGAAAGACGGACGGGAGTGTTCTTCTCCTTTCTCTCGCTCTCACCCCTCTTGTCACATAGAGAGAGAGGAGGGGAAATGATTGTCAGTTGCCGGAAAATAAGGAAAACAAGGGAAGAAGAGACGAGGTCGGGAAAAAAGGCGGGAACGGGAGGGTAGAGTATAAGGCGGAAGTTGGTCCTCGGCGGGCTAGACTTGGCAGGGCAGGGTACAAGGGCAGGGAACAATGGTAGCGAAAAGAGAGAGGCAAATATTTCGGACAAGGGCGATTATTTGGTATCGCATTTCCATTCCGGATGGGTCCGGTTTGGATGTGCGCTTCTGTAGGCGTGATAACCGTGATCGACAGACTCGGGACCGGGACTCCGTATATGCGCGCACGCTCGCACGCTCGCACTCACGCACTCACGCACCCAAAAGATGCCAGGCAGGGTTAGACTGGGGATGGTGTGGCAGGCGGCAAGTGAGGGAGAGAAACGCCAGTCTAGCTTGAGGATGACATTTAGGATATAGCTCAAGACCACCGATTGAGACTGAGGTCGAGGTCGAAGTCGAGCCCGACTCTGGGTTGGCGTTCGAGTTGGAGTTGGAGTGGTATCGGCGGGCGTCAGGATAGGAAGAAACTTGGATCAGCCTGGCGAATCAAGTCATCGCCAAGAAATTCGCCCGCAAACGCACGGCACAGTCGGAAGGCTCAATCATGGATCGAAGGTACAGTGGCGACAACCAGCAAAGGGAGGGAGAGGAGAGTCGAATTAGTTTGTCTTGGCAAATGGCAGGGAGCCGAGCCCTACGAAGTATGCGTACCCCGTAAGTGATCATTGACGTGAAACCCTCCGACAGGCTGGCCCTGGTGCAATTCTGGGGTATGGGTATTATTGCATATTCAACGGCGCGTGTTGAGGATCCCACTGTTCCAGCAATGGCGATAGGAGTCGAAGCAGGAACGGGAGAGGAGGCAGGATAAGGAGAAGGAGCAACGATGAATTGAATTTCACCACGAGGAAAGCCCTGGACGATGGGCCCTAAGCTCATCAAAACCAATTCTGGTGAAGTACAAGTACAAGTCCACAAGTGCCTGTTTCTATGCTAGTGGGAGTCTCAAAGACTCGAGCCGGGGGAGACCGTGACATACAAATCCAGTGATCGTCATGTACTTATCAATTCGTACACCACCAAGTCACATCGAATGATACTCGTTTACTGAGCGACTGGGTGCTCTGAGTCTTTCCACGACTCCAGGCCTGGTAAAAGGTTTAATTACTCGGTCTTGAATTGAGGTTATTTCTTGGTGACCCTTCTCAAAATGCTGGCAAGTGCCGAGCTGAGTGCGTCATCGTGCTTAGAGGCTGGTTCACGATGTCACTCCATTGTCACATTGATCAATCCGAATCGCAGGCTCATATCCCTTATACCCGCAAACCGGTGACTTCTTCAAGCAAAGTGGTGCTCTGCATTAGGGCGACGGCCTCGTCTAAACTCTGTAAAGTGAGTGGGTTCCCCTAAATCCCATTGATTATCGTCTTAATGTCGCCACTCATCTACCAAGTAAAGGAGGCCATGTTGATATCCATCTCCACCACTTTCCTGTGGAGCATATTAGCATTGTGATCTTCCTCTTCAGACTTTGACAGCTCGCCAGGACATTTCAAAACCGAAGATCCACTACCATCAAATCCATGCTCTCCAGTGGTTGGTGCATTCATTTCGAGAGCATTGCCGAGTCGAAACAATGCTTGAACAAGGGGGCAGGAGATGTGTGGCAGTCTGAGACGTTGAGAGTCTGTTTTAGCGCATTGTTTTGTTAGGCACTGCAAATAAGGGTCCGCAAGCATATCCTGCGCCACGAAACCACGAAACGCAATCAACGAGCATCAGCATCAAATAACTCTTGGCAGCCTCCGCGCCCTGTCGAGTCAGCTCTCAGTAATAAACTTTGACGTCACTTACTAGTACACTTACTGAAGACAGCTTTTCAAAGCGACTCGAGGAGCTGGTGTCTCATACCCGTTCGGTCCAAGCCCAATAGCCCTATCAAGACCTGGGAGGAGAGAACCCAGGAATTCAGGATACACTTGCGACTATGATTGAAGAACGTAAACTTGAGTGATGCAGTCGGCATTTGAATGCCAGCTCGGGATATCGAATCATTGATCCACTGGACGGTCCACCGGGCGATTCGATGCAAGACCCGAGGTTACGATCATTTGGAACAAACACGGTAATATCTAAGGGAGGGCAATAACTAGTAACTTCAGCATCCACCTTTTCTTTTCTTTAAAAGACGAGGATGCCAATGAGGCGCCCTTGAACTGGTCGATATAACCATTCATTGAAGAAATTTCTCCAAAAGGGAGTATTGCTTTAATAGTTGAGCTATCTAGGTAAAATGCTACCGGGTAGAATGCTCTAAAATCACATGAGGGGTCGGTACGCTGCCCTCAAACTGCTGATGTACTAGCAGCGCCACGGGTGTTTCCTGGCGTCATCAGCATGTAGGTGCTAGACACAGTTACGTGCCCCAGTGCTTTGAATCTTCCCTGGCAGTCTTTACTTATGTGGCGTTTCTTAGGGCATGAGCCACCCCCGCCCTTCCCAGGAAAAAAAAGGAAAAAAAAGAGGGATTAACTGCTGGGGAAGATAATAGCAATTCATATGAACTACCAAGCCGACGTCCCGGAATTGACTTGATCTGACCTGCGACCAACTACAATCGACCGAGCCTCGCTTTTGAAGATGGCGAACGTAACACCCGCGTCGACCGGCGCTTCGCCGTACGACTCTTACCAAACGTCTCTCACCACCCGGTACTGCAGCCCTACCATGTCCCAGCTCTTCAGCCAGCGATCTCGTCACTCAACTTGGCGAAAACTATGGCTAAGTCTTGCTGAGAGTGAGAAAGAGCTTGGGGTTGGTACGATTACCGACGAAGCTTTGGAGCAGATGAGGGCTCACCTTACGGTCACCGATGAGGACTTTGAGATTGCCCGTGTTGAGGAGAAGAGGCGTCGGCATGTAAGATTTAAATCACGATCTTACCTCTGCATCCCCTTTACTAAGTCAGAGATGTTGCTAATCTGACTACTACTAGGATGTCATGGCGGTAAGAACGTAGCTTCTCACGAATGATGATACTGACGAATGCTGAATGCTATGACAGCACGTCCACGCCTTTGGGGCCGTTGCCCCTGCTGCTGCGGGTATTATTCATCTGGGTGCGACCAGCTGTTTCGTAACCGATAACACCGAACTTATTTTGGCCCGGGAAGCCATGGACTTGATTTGTAAAAAAATTGCCAAGGTTATCGCCAACCTCTCTGCCTTCGCCCTCCGTTGGAAGAGCGAGCCGACGCTTGCGTATACGCACTTGCAAGCTGCCCAGCTTATCACAGTTGGAAAGAGAGCGGCGCAGTGGATTTTAGATCTCATGCTTGACCTCCATGCCATCGAGCAGGTTCGCCAGGAGCTTAAGTTCCGCGGTGCTCAGGGGACGACTGGGACGCAAGCCAGTTTCCTCTCCATCTTCGAGGGCGATGCTTCAAAATGTGATCAGCTGAACGAACTTTTATGTCAGAAGTTTGGGTTCCCAAGCTGCTATGATATTTCCACGCAGACTTATACCCGCAAGGTCGACCTAATCATCGCCAATGCCGTGGCAGGACTTGGATCCACAGCTCAGAAAATCACCGGAGATATCCGCCATCTTATGCACTGGAAGGAGATTGAAGAGCCGTTTGAGTCTTCTCAGATCGGCAGTAGTGCCATGGCCTACAAAAGAAACCCAGTAATTAGCACTTCCCCAAGTTGTGGTTTCTCTTGCTGATTTTGGCCAAGATGCGCTCAGAGCGAGTATACAGTTTGGCTCGCGAATTGATGAGCAAGGTAAGCAAGCACAGGTATCACTATCGATTTTCGAATGTACGGGAAACTGACTAGGGAAGCCGGCATCTTTCGCAGCGACTCACAGCGATCAATGGGCAGAGCGAACCCTCGACGACTCAGCTATCCGCCGTGAGCACATTCTGAAGCACATCTAGTTGAGCCCAAGACTGACGTCATCATAGGCATTGACATTCCCGAAATGTTCCTTCTAGCAGATGCAATTTGCATTGGTCTTGTAAGCTCATCCTCACCCCCTAGAAACAGATATATCTAATACATACGCAGGATAATATTACCGATGGTCTCGTGGTTTATCCTGGCATGTAACCTCCCCGAAGCCTAAGATTTGTCCCCAAACTGGTCTACGAGAGATATATATCTTTACTACGTGCATGACCAGACTACTTGAAGTCCAGGAATTGGCATGCTGACATCATGGGTACTTTCTAGCCGTCATTGCCAGTCGGGTAGCCGCCGAGGTGAGTTAATGCCATTCTTCGCTGATTCGGATTTTGAAGGCTACGATGCTAACCCCCATCTGTAAGTTGCCTTTTATGGTTACAGAAGAGATCATCATGAGGTTGTGTGCCAAGGGCGTCTCGAGACAAGACGCTCACGAGGAAATCAGAGTCTTGAGCCACCAGGCTGGCGCCGTCGTCAAGCAGGAAGGAAAGCCGAACGACCTGGTGGAGAGAATAAAGGCCAACGAGTTCTTCAAGCCGATTTGGGGTGAGCTGGACGGGATGCTCAAGGCGGAGCTGTATACCGGACGCAGCAGCCAGATTGTCGAGAAGTATTGCGGGCCTGGCGGACCCGTTAGCAAGGCCCTTGCGCCATATGCCGACTACATCAGGAACGCCACCACGGCCAAACTCAACGTCTAAGTACCTAGAGGAAGCCGTGATGTACTAGTAATTTGTTGCAGAATACGTACAAGAACTTTCCTCGGTACCCATTAAACCAAGGCTCTTATCGATACACTGTAACGCACGGCCCATGAGGATTGAAGAAACCCACAGCAGATATCTACAATAGTGTATAAGATCTCGACATACCAGGCTATTTTTGTGTGTTATGTTACTGGACAGACAACTTTTCACGTCAAGGTGTCGCTCCCCATGCCGAGGAAGGAATTCCAAAATAGGTTTAGAATTTAAACCTCCTGACACATCCTCCAGAGCAAACAGCAAATCATCCTCGTTATCACCATCGTCGTCTTTAACAACAACTCACACTTAGCATAGATGTCTAGGCAACCCGCGTTTGATCACCGTGATCTTCAGCGAGATCACCAAGCGTAACCAAGATGCAAGAAACCAAAAGGAGGGCTTTGGGCTCCACTCTCGGTACTCCTCCCGAGGAAAGAGGTTCAATTTTGGGTTCCTGGGAAACATTTGATGCACTGCTACTCTCTTTCAACTGGCACTGGGTCTTCGTTCGCAGAAGGGATCAACATTGACAGGGAGAACTTTGGCGAGCGCATTGAGGCGCTGTATTTCTTGGTCGTCTACTCGTCGCCAGGATTTATGAAAGTTAGTTCCCAAATACTCTCTCCCTATGGTTAAATTTGCCATTCCACATCCATCGCCAAATTGCCCGCGGGAGAGGATCTCATCCAGTTCATGACCCACCCCATATACTCATCCGGTTATTATATGCCACTAAATACGATGGATCATAGACAGAACTTCCATGTAAAATTTTCTGATGCCGGAATGGAATATCTCCACGGTTCCACCTGTTCTCGCCGGAAATGGTACGCGGGGATCCCCAGCCTCGAGACATTCCAGGAAACACGATTCTCCCGAGTGAGAGAACTCACCAGCCGTTCTGGGGAACCCCAGTCTTGTTATGATTATTATCTCCTTTCTATGGCACTCTACTCCCGTGGATAACGAAGAACTTCGGGGAGTTTTCCCTTCTCCCATTCGCCTTGGAAAGCGAAGGGGGCAAAGCGGGAAAGAACCCTCGGTGAAACGGTCCCGGGATGTAGGCGCGGCGCACGGAGGAAATAGGGGGGCGTAGGGATTTCCAGGGTATCTCCAGATTTCCCTTGGATGCGGGACACTTTCCTTTCTTCTGTTCTGTTGTTTTCCCGTCGGTCATGATGGACCTCACAGAGATGCGAAAGCATTTGCAGGTAGGAAGGGGGCTTCTGTGATTCTATTTCTTACCGTTCCGGATTGATGATGTTGGTGATACTCTTTACTTCTATATATGCCCACCCTCGCTTCTGCCACTTCAACGGGATGAACCAGACTTTCAGAATGCAATCCTCAGCGTAGACATCGCGAGGTCAACAGCCATGCTTTTCGGCGCTCAAAACAACGACGCTCTGAAGACAGGTCCCATCTTAAACCGCAGCCCTCGTCCAGCGTATCGCACTTCCCTCCCCACTCCGAGTCCCCTCAGATCTCCTCCATCTCCAAATCATCCAAAGCAGGAAAATTCCCAACCTCCACCCTCTCCGGCCTCACAAAAACCCCATGCTTCAGCTCCGACGGCTGCCCCCAATACCTCGTGCCCGCAATGCTCCCATCATTCTTCCCCACGGGCTCGTCGAGCTTCACGCCGACCCACGGCCCGCTTCCCCCAGGAATCTCCACTACCTCGCCGACGTACATGACGACGCCCCTCCGCGTGTCCTCGTGGCCGACCCGGCACCGCTTGCCCACCTCGATGCGGCGCTCGCGCACCTCCTGCTCGTAGTTGGCGATCTTGGCTTGCTCGTGGCTAGGGGCGTCGGGGTCGAAGCGGCCTAGCTTTTGGGCTTTCTTCCAGGCGAGGACGGAGTCGGTTTTTTGGGCGTAGTCTTCTTCGGACATGACGTATTTTTCTACGCCTGTGGTGTCGTTGAAGTTGGGGCGGGCGGAGGGAGGGCGGAGGTCGGTTATCTGGTGATGAAACAAAGAAGTGTTAGCCTTTTTGCTCTGCGTACCTGCACGGATCTGGATTTTCATTGATGTGAATGCCCTAAGCCACTCCGCCAGCTGGAAAAGTAGCTGTAGTTTTCCAGTCATATGGCCTGCTTCGAGTAAAAGGGCGAGGAGGATCTCTCACATGGATCTCCCCGTTCCGAGAGAGGGGAAAGCTAGAAAGCAGGGTATTGTCCTCGTCGGCCACGTCCATCGGTATCCTCTCAGACGTGGCGGTCTTGTAAGTCAGCTTCTGCGACGACGGGGGGATGCCCGTCACCGACTCCATCTTGGCCTTGAACTCGCTGATGGACCATGATGGCGTGATGCGCCTCTCCGAGGCAGAGTAGTCCGAGATGACGAAGAGTGGAATGTCCGCCATCGTGACCGGTGTCTGAATGTCGAAGATATCGATCGGTGTGTGGTTGTGTTTGTTGATCTCGAACTCGAGGTGGAGTTGCGGGGTAATTAATTGACTTTCTTCCGTGGGGCGCGTGTTAATTCGCGTTGACGATTCAAGGGGGAGGTTGCAGGATGAGATGTCCAGGCAACAGTGGGACCTTGTACAGTGTATTTCATAGAGGATCGTTCCACTATCCCACCTTCCAGCACAACATCCATCAATCAATCAATGGGGCGCCTTCGTGTTGGGCAGTTCGCAACTTCCCACACTCAATTCTATTCTCTATGACATCCATTTCCGGGGTATTTTGCGGGACGATGGAATATTCATGGGCTTGCTGATTTACACTACTGAACATTCTATTCTTCACATTGCATTACTGCATCAACCCCTAACAATGGGTCACACCTCCAAGCCCCCTCAACAGCACTATAGAGGCCGACTGAAAAATCCCGAGTCAAATGATATAAACTCCAATACCTCCCGACAGTATAGACTAATTGCACCAGGTATAACTATTTAATAGAGCTCTACTTATATTAATAATCTACCATTATACATATATTAATCCTAATCTTGCCCTTAGCACCCCACCCAGCACCATCTCAACACGTAGAGGCTGAGAGCTCCATTGCTACTCACCGCAAAAGAGGCCGGCCAAGAAAGCATGCAACAATAGAAGCTTCGGCATCTCAATTAGCGCCGTCTCAACAGGTAGAGGCTGAGGGCTCCATTGCTGCTCGCCCAAAAAGAGGCCGGCCAAGAATGCATACAACAATAGAAACTTCGGCATCCCAACTAGTACCGTCTCAACAGGCAGAGGTCGAGAGCCAACGCCCAAAAGTAGGCCGGCCGAGGAAGTATGCAACAGATGCTGCAAGAAGGGAAGCAAAACGCCTCCAGGCCAGAGTAAGAAGAGGAAGAGACAGCAACCAGCAACCCCATGTCGAATCGCCCTCCGCACCACCACCCCAGCACCGTATTCAACTCGGCAGTCCAGAATCCTGCGAGAAGATTCTTCGAGGCTTTGCTGAGGTTGTGATGCGTATCTAGATTCGGGCTGTTGTCAGGACCCACTTGCTCCGATCGGCCCCGCGGACACGGAAGCGCCTTCGGAGCGAGTCGGGGCGACTCGCTCTTCGGGTTCGTTGTACCTGCTGAAGGTGCCATTTTTCGCACACCAAGGTACGACATATTCTGTATTGTAATAAAATAATTTGTTTTGTAGACTTACGAGGTCGCTTCCTGTAGTTCCCTCAAGACTCAGGGCTGTGTTGTTATTCCCTCATATATTATCCAGAAAGCCTACTACATAAAGAAGAACCTCTCAAGGCACATTTTCCTCTCTCCCTCTTCTCTTTTGAAAGTCCTCATCCATTCCCATCAATCCCCTGATGCCCCCTCATCGCTCTCCCCATCATCAACCTTCCCCACCCCAACGACCATCGAGCTCCTAATCACACGCACCAACACCGCAGCAGCAACCAGCACCCAGCCAGCCACAGTAAATGGCAAGCCAACCCACGCATCGCCCCAGACCAGCCCAATATTAAACAAACCCGCAAACATCGGACCCGCAGTCAACACGGCAAAGGTATCGACGAACGCTATACTCGTATACATTACCCCGATTTCATGCCCGCCCACCAACGACGTCATCAAGCTCCTAATCATAAACGTATACCCGCCGCCCATGCCCGCCACAACGATGCCCGCTACCAGCAGGGTCTTGGTCTCGGCTAGGCCCTGAAGTATGGTGCCTGCGGCGCTCAACACGGCGCTCACTTGGGCGAGCCTGAGCTCCTTCTCCCGCTCCGAGACACGCAACGTATGTAGAAGCCGACTTGTGCCGGGTAGGATCACAAGGAGGAGGACGAGGGTAGTAAAGGCCGTTACTGACTGAAGGAGGCCCGCTTCCGAATATGACATGCCGTAGCGCTTGGTGGCGTATTGCATCAACTGTAGGAAGGAGCTCCGGCCGAAGATCTCAAGGGTTAGGGAGATGAGGAGGAGGCCGACGAGTTTGTGGTCCCAGAAGAGGAAGCGGGCCGAGTGGGCCGTGTGGGTGAGGGCGGCGACGGCGCGGGGTAGGATCGTGTTCAGCGGCCTTGGCGGTTGGCTCGTAGAGTTATGTTGGGCAGAGGAAGGGTGGTTAGCTGAGCTCGGGCTTGTCGTATCGCCCGTCCGTAAAGGGGGAGCGTCATCCGCCTGCGAAGAGCCATTTGCTGGGTGATCGGCGGGAGAAATTTTGACGGCCGCGGCATTATCGAGGGTTTCCGGCGTGAGGAAACCGATGGCGGTGGATACGAATAGACAAGTGAGACCGGTGATGGCGGCGAACCAGGCCCCCCGTTTCATCGCGATGTAGACGATGGGATTGGCGATGAGGGCACCTCCCATGAGGGAAGCGCCGATGTAGAAGAAGGTGGATACTCTAGTATAGGTTGTTAATTTGGTGGGCAGCAGAAGCGTTTGATTTGCAAAATATATTTGATATGACGATTGTAAGAAAATATAACGCACCTCTGCTCTTCGGTCGATATGTCGGCAACAATAGTATATATCATCGCGGAGGAGACAGTCCCGCCACCGCCCAGGAATTGAAAGAGACTACCCAACCAGATAGTTCGGGGTTGAAATACATGAGGCATGGCACACACAAGTGCATCAGACGCCGCTTTCAAGGTAACGCCGAGCAGACTCAATCCCAGGACCAGCGTGCGACCATACCTGTCAGCCACGGCGCCGTAGGGAACGCTCGTCAAGAGGCTTGGCACTAGGGTGAAGGTGGTATCCCACCCCCTAATGAGGGACAGCTCGCTCTGGACATCTTTGTCCTTGCACTTGCCCGGGTCGAAGTCGGGACCGTGAATGTGGCGGCAGATGTTTCCCTCTTGGATTTCGGCGATGGGCACATCGAGAAGGGAGCCGCCGATTGCTAGTGTTATGAGCAGCGTGAAGCTAAGAACGAGGACGAGGATACGCTTGGCCGGGGAGATGGGCCTTGTTGCTGGCGGCAACACTGTCGATGCCGTATCGGACTCCGACGTGCTGGTATCGAAGTCGATCCGATGGTTCTCATTGCCCGGACCTAGCAGCGGGGCCCGCTCGCTGTCTGTACCTATTGTCATTGTCATATCAATTTATCGCGTTGCTGGATTTTGAGAGCCGGCAGCAGCCAAGATATTCAGCGACCAACACATTCAGCGACCAGCGCTGGCCGGGAGAGAAGGGGGGAGTCAACGATGGTGAAGAATTGGTCCTTTGGGCGAAGCCACAGAGGCTCGAGCTACCTTATCGAACCCGAAGCAAACAGGGCGATTATAAATAGACTGGCATTTTGCAAGAGGAAGAAATGAATTGAAAGGAATAACTGGAATAGCGCTGAAGGTATTTCTCGGCCGTACGTTCGCGGTGAAGCACCCATATTAATTAGTCGCTTATATGTTTCGATAAGCAATGGACACCATGGATCAATCAATTGCATCCATGACTTCCTCAAGTTAATTGCCCCCATGCCGTGATCCTGCCCTCCTCTGCCGACATGGTTTGTGGAACCAACAAGTGCGGGGGATCACTAGATGAGGCAGGTTGGTTGAAACAAGGGAACCACAGAATGGGGAGGGACTGAGCGGAGGAAAAGGCAGTATCAACACAAAAGCCCTCCGGGGTCGGTCGGCAATGTGTGTGAAGACTATAAAGCACGAAGCAGATGCAGATGCCCAGCGAGTAACTTGGGGCGTAGCTTCGTCTCACGTCACAGCAAACAATAACAACAGACGCTGATCCACCCTCGGGTTCCAGAAATAAGAGGCGCAATTGCATCAGTAACGGGGGTGCCGGCTAAGTTCATTTCGACTTATGAGCCAATGGACACCACATGGTTTGGCCCGGTGGTTTGGGTCCGCATCACAGAACAGAATGACAGAATGATGTGGTCTCATCTCCGGAATGCATGCCCGCGAGTACCCAGGAACCAATGCAAAGGATCTTATTGCTCGGCGTGGTATATACTTTAGAGGTCAAGATGAAGACACATAGGGTTAAAGGTGAAAGTGGATCGACCTGAGTAGGGTGAGAGCCTGGTCCGGAGCTGGATACAGCCTGGGATGGCCTCGTGTCGCCAGTAATGAAAAGTCGTGGACGCTGGGCAACGGGTGGACAGTGTTCAAGAATGTCAAGAACGTCGAGCAATTTATAGATTACACCGGATTAAATTAAACCGTCTAGATTAGACTATCCAAGCCACCTACCAAGAAGGCAATCGATTGAATACTCTACTGGGTATGAGCCAATAGCCTCAGTCGGGAGGAATTCAATCCAGTCGCACACAGCGGGCTGCGAAGATTGATCGGGTTCAGAGCCTTGACAAACTCCCAATACTCGGGATACCATCCTGCGGATTCCCAACCAAGAATGCCAGAGACCTTTATATCCTTGACCGTTCTTAGACTCCCCTGAACACTCTCCCAGGTGATCATAATATTTCGCGGGTTTAAGTCCCCATGTGTCATGACGATGCCATGATCTTCTCTCAGAGATGAGCGGATCATCTTAATCTATTGTGTTACGGTTCTTCCAGGTGCGTGACAAAGGAAGTCGTTAAAATCCGCCTCCGTTCGGATGAGCTTGTCGCTTACACGCTACATGCGCCTCGTATCATTACAGATACTTGTTTCGAAGCTCCCTAGGTTGGGTTGACCGGGAGGGAACTTTGCGGCATGCGAACGAAGACCCCTAAAGATATCGTTAAGCTGTTTTTGGATGGAGAGTTTGTGGGAAGTAGAAAGATCAGGCTAGACGCTTTCAAGCGGCACCCCAGGGACTCGAGATTGGAAGAAATAAGATCGTCGACCATTTTGGAAGGCACCAAGACACTGAGGAGCTGGCATATCTGGTATCCCAGAGTTTAGGTACCGTAGATTCGATATATGGTCCGGATCTAGAGAGCCATTAATTTTGACGGCGACGGAAGGCCCAAGGCTTAGAACGAAGTTGCTGTGTATCTGATGGAGACATTCGGCCTCTGATAATCGACGATTCATAGCTGTCAGGAAGACTTTTGAGAGTGGACCCGATAAGTCGTCGGCTGTGCATGCCGCTTCGCACTCGGATGAGAGTTTGAGCAGACGAGAGCTCAAAGGATGCAATATCTCGAGAGGGAGCTCCGGTGAGACCAAGAGTGATTCAGATGGTGTTTGGGGCTTATCTCTGCTAGCCCCATAATTCGCGCCTGCCTCATGTTCTGGTTTCTTCGCCCGAGCTGACTGGGCGAGGTTTTCGACGAGGGTGGGATATTTCTTCAGTTGCTGGCCTAGAAAACCCGTTAGGTCCGCTGCTGGATCTTTCTTGACCTTGGACACAATTCGGTTCAAGGTGAACCTGTTCGCTCGATCGCGGGCCTCGTCAAGATAGTTGCGCTCCTGTGTTGGACTTCTTTTCGTTTCCGGTATCTCTGCCATTATTAAAGGCCACCAGGCTATGCTGGAACATTGATTTTTTCTAGTGATGTGCTCTTGTCGGCCTGGAATCGAACACCTTCAGGAAGCTCACTACCCTTCGAGTCCCCAGCCCACTTAAACATCGGGGTTTTGACTGGATCCTGCTCCTCCACGTGATGAATCAAACAATCGGCGACCCTGTAGGCTGAAGGCTCATACAGCCGGAGTGGCAGACCTTATTCATGTTCGCCGCCCGCCACATCTAAGATTCGATTCTTAACAGCCTCGTTAGGGCCATAAGTCGGATATATCCCGTGCGGGTAGATGCCACCGAGCAGCTTCCTCGTCTGCATGTTGGCCACTTCGCGCGGCCAAAACAGACGGAATGGCGGAATGGTCGAGTCGTATGAATAAAAGCAGGCTGGCATCTGTAATTTTAGATATTGTTACTTCAATTGATGTATGCAGGGACTAACATGAGATCGACCAGGCACATTCATGGCATGGCTCATCGCCTACTAGGGACTCTTGCAAGACTGTATCTACTGTCTCTTCACTGAAACCGTGGTTTGAGATTTCGTACTTCGCCATTGACTGATTTTCCTCGTAAATCCTGGTGATAGAGCTTCTATGTCCATCATAGAGCCAGGGCTTACCTTAGATAGCCACCTCAGCCTTTAGCTGCATGGCTCCTTTGACTTCACCCTGGCTTTTGAACACAGCATCACCTCAGCACTCCCTTGTATTATATTCTTCCTTGTTTCAGTGTCTGGACTTCCTGGTATATTGCGTAAATGACCAAAGCGGATTGTTTTGGCTGTTGATGAGCGGCTCTCCACTGGCCAAAGATGATGGGTAGAAACACAGCCACGAAAAGACCAGACAAGTTCTGATTAAGTTGAACTGACAAACCTGAATTAGTATTAGTTATTTCAGGTTAGTGAATGACTGTCTCTTCTCTCTGTCCTCTTGACGTGGCACTGTCGAGGAGATTGTGGCTGCGATGTAGCCTCGAAGCCTTACCCGCTGTCTTCGTTGTCTCGGTCACCACCAAGACTGCGCTCTTGTTTCTCGAAGAGATGCCTGAACTACCTCCGTGGTATGGATCGCGGATGGAAATGAATCCAGAGTCCACTAGCAGCGCGATGAACTGCTCGTTCTTCGGGTGGCTCAGCGTCATTCTCCTCCGCAGCTACCGTGGCTTGCTCAACCCCCCAAACGCTCGATGTCCAGCTCCTTCTTGACCACCCACCCCACGACAGCAAAAAACCAACTGGAGGGGGACAATACTCCGTCTGCCTCAAACCTTTCGCACCATCGCATCTCGAACTTTATGCGCTCCGCCTCGCTCTCTCAGTATCCAAACTCATGCAGCACATTCTCATCAAACATGTCATTGATCACGCTAAGGATTCGGCGGAGTTACTGAACCCCGGCCTCGATGTCGCCAGAGGCTTTATCGGCACGACGGTTCGGCATCCCCATCTTGACCTCGGTCTGGAACAACCTGACGCGGCTTGAGGCTGGAAGACTCCAATGCCTTGGCACAGCAATGATCTTTCGAGGTAAGGAAGCTCCTTCTGAATAGAAAATATTTCCTGGCGGTTTAAACGAAGGCTTAACCGCGCCTGGTCTTTCTCACTTTTCAAGCCCAGAGAGACGATCTCGCCTGTCAACCAAATTGGGAAGGAGAGTACAGTGCGGATTACCGCAAGGCACATTTAAGGTTACTAAGAAAATAGAGTTTCATCACGTGACTTTCCTTAGCTCCAGCCTCCGAGGTCCAAGCACCCTGGACGATTTGACGTGCATCGGTAGCTTCTTCCATTTGGGCTTTTCGTGATCTGGCCCATCTTTCACGCTGCGTTCCAAGCGAAATCTTGGAAAGGGTCTCCCGTCTGTGTCTTAGAAGGCGCATAGGAGGAACATGTAGCCAGAATTTCGACGATTCATCTGATCTGTTCCTCCCCATCATCGTTCCTTCGACGCAACAACCTCGAACTCTCCACGACAGGCATTATCGCCTCCCCGCAACGAACCTCCGACCCTTCGATTCACGGATATTTTGGCATCGATTACGGTATTCTCTGTGTAATAGATTGGGGGAGAACGCATTATAGCGTTCTCACTTGTAATTGGAGCTACTCGAACCCACATCTAGTGTGGAGGAAGCCAGCGGTGGCGCGGGCACGCGACAATAGCGACTTCCACGGAGAGTTCCTATTCACCACATTCAACGAGGGTAGGAGCCATTCAGGCCCCTTACAAAGGGCCAGATTAAGCGTCTGGGGTTTCATATTTCGGATGCTTGTCCCCTTTTTTTGTCACATTCCTCTTGCCTACTTGGCATATCATTACCAACGCCACTCGCATCTTCCCCTCTGGCATCTGGAGTCGTCGCATAGAAGTATAAAAGAACAAAACAAGCTGGTTGGATCTTGAACTTTATTTATTTTTCTACTGCTATTCTTTACGTCTACGCTTCGCTTCGTTTGGGGAGCCTTTGGAAGGCCTTCTCATATTGAACCGAGTGAGGGGGAGAGAAGAAGAAGAAGACGAGGAAGAAAAATAGGAAGACAACCAGAAGAGGAAGAAAAAAAAGGCCCTCCAAGGCATCTCCGAGACTTTAGAACTCATCATGTCGTATGAAAATGCTGCCGCCGAGGTGGCGGAGGATTTCAAGACGGCGCTGGAGGACATGACCTCCATCAGTCGAATCGAGATTATGAACTTGTGCCAGATTGCCCGCGAGAATACGGAGCATGCCTTTGAAATCTCTGAAGTTCTTGTGGCCCACATAAACCGGGTATGCATTTCGGATAACCTCCCCTTCCCCTTCCCCTTCCCGAACCTTGGCATACAGAATAGACACGCGAGGTCTTAGCTACTCCCAGGCTTCGATTTTCCCAATATGGACATGCTAACAAGGGTTCTATAGACTGCTCCTCAAAAAAAGTTGGCCGCCCTATACGTGCTAGATGCCATAGTCAAGAATGTCGGCACACCGTACACACTCTATGTGGCGCCCAAGCTGTTCTCGACCTTCATGGAGGCTTATGCCCGGGTAGAGCACCCGGTCCGGCGCAAGATGGAGGAGATGCTGAAGACGTGGAAAGGACCTGTGCCGGGCTCTATGGATACCAAGCCGGTCTTCCCCCCCGACGTCGTGAAACCCATCGAGAATGCCCTCATCAAGGCTCATACCTCCGCCATGCAGACACTTCAACAGCACCGTAAGACTCAACCGCACATTCTCGGCCGTCCTCCACCTAGCGCGCCGCACCGCAACACCCCTACGCCTCCCGGCATGCCCCATGGTACTCACGGCCACCCCTACGCTCATCACGCCGCTCCAGACGTTAATGGAACGGGCACCCCCCAGCATCAGGTATCTCCCTCTGTAGCCTTTTCTAGAGTGAACCCCCTGCTAATATTTTCCTCTTCGTAGACGCCCCCCTTCGTGCCGCCAAGGTCCGGGACTCAGTCTATGCCTCCCACTCACGGAGCGCATGCTTATTATGGCACGCCGCAGCAGCCAGGATATGTGGCAGGGGTGAACGCAGATGTGTTGAATAAAGACATCGAAGACCTCGTCCTTGCAACGCGCGTGGAGTATGCGCAGAATCCGCATGATGGTAGTATTCCAACGAGACTCAAGGCGCTCATGGACTTGCAAGCAATCGTGCAAGCCAAGAACCTGCCGCAAGACCAACTCGTGCTAGTTAAGAAACAAGTAGATGAACTCGCCGTGAAGATGAGAGTTCCACAAGTAGGCAGCAGCACCACCAGCTCGACGCCAAACTACCAGCACCAGCACCACGTATCTCTACCTACCAGCGTAGCCCCTCCCCCTTCTACATCTTCGGCGGGCACGACGCCCGTGCCTCTGCCGCTGGCGCAAGTGCCGACACCAGTACCGACAGCTTCGGCCCCCGTGCCCGCGCAGCCTCAAGGTCACGTAACGATTGATTCCCTCCTAGGAAAGGGAGCTTTGGCTGCTCTTCTGGCGCAGCAGGCCGAGCGATCTGCGCGTTCGACTCCGGCTCCCGCGCCGCCGGCCACACACGCCCCACCGCAGCCGCCACCCGTGATGCCTGCAGCCGCTCCTCCACAAGCACAGGACCCTATGGCCTTAATTCACCAACTGAGGCAGGCGGGCCTTCTAGGCGCGGCTGGACATGCGGGCGCGCCGGTTGCCCCACCTCCTGCTCCCGCGGTGCCTAGTATCCCTACTCGGGCGATGCAATCCGCCGCCCTCGCCTCTCTGCCTCCGGTGCTTGCGAGAGTGTTGTCGCCGATGAAGGCATGGGCTCCGCCTCCCCCGCCAGCCGACTCGAGGGAATTGTCCTGGAACCTGGCCTCCCTCCAAGTAGTGTGAGTACATTTGTTCCTTTTGTTGCCGAACTGCTTTTTTCTCTTTTCTTTGCCCCTAATGTTACTGACGTCTCCGCTAGACGACCTTACCTATTCCCAGCTTTGTACGGAGAACTTGGACCCCAATGTAGCCAGTGTGGTCGACGATTCAAGGCGGACGCAGAAGGGAAGAAGAAGAAGACGGCGCATATGGATTGGCATTTCCGCGTGCGGCAACGCATGGCCGAGGCAGAGAAGCGCGGGCAATATCGAAGCCACTACGTACCCAAACACGTAAGTCCCCCCCCCCTTTTTCTCTCCCTCACTTAGCAAAACACTACGAAGAAGGAAACCAAACTAACTCAATTCTCCAGGACTGGATAAAATCGCGCGAGGAAGTAGACCTCGACTACTCCGCCGAAGAAAAAGACACCACAACCTCCGAAGAAGCCTCCAAACCCCCCGAGCAGCAATACATCCGCGTGCCCGACCCATCCTCTGGCATCAGCAAAGTCTGCCCCATCTGCCAAGAGCAGTTCGAGAACAAGTGGCTCGACTCGGCGCAGGAATGGGTGTGGCTCGACGCCAAGATGGTGGGGAATCGCGCGTACCACGCCAGCTGCCACGCCGAAGCGACCAAGGATCGAGATAGGGCGACGACTCCTAGTTTTGGTGGCGGAGGGAGAGGGTTCACGCCCGAGCCGGTGCTGGGGAAGAGGAAGGCCGATGTGAGTGCTGACTCTAAGACCCTGAAGAAGGGTAGGAGCTAAATTAGAGATCGTTGGCGCCCTCCGAACCTTCCTATTGGAGGGTGAGGCGGGTGCATTTTCTTATTTCTTTTCTTTGCAGAAAGACGAAGTCTATTCTCTCAAGTCTCGATCGAAAATGAACTAAGCCGAAACGAGTTGTACATCATCAGCAGTTCGTGCAGGGAGGCCAGAGGTCCCTGGAACGGGCAGGTGGTAGAAAATACAGCGTCCAACCAGGTATTTTCGGAGAATACCTCGGGGCCAGCATAGAAGGGGATAGGAAAGACCTCGCGCTTATTCGCAGGTAGGAACACAGATGAGGTTCACGCACTCGGACCTCTAAAACACATTCTTTGTACTTTAACCAGACTTGCATAGCATGCGCTTCGGAGGAGTTCAAGTCGGTGGCCCAAAGGGCCCCAATTCCAAATATAATAAGGGATAAAAAAGGGAAAAAAATGTTTCATAGTATTAATGCCTGAATGGATTCACCAGCAAAAGAATTCGATCCTCTCCCAAACTCCGTGACGCCCGCTGGGACGTTATCATCCCGTCGAAAACTCAAGATGTATATCCCACGGCCTGCTTGAGATGTGCCAAACTCTCCTCCCAGACTTCCTTCCCTTCAGTCTCAGCCCACAGGCCAACCTTCTCAATGCCCTCCAAATCCTCCCTCATATGCTCTTCACTCGTCGTCCCGTCCAAAATCGCAAACCTCTCCAACCCCAACAGAAGCGAATAAAGAGCCACCGGCGCCGAAACATCGGCAGCCTTCGCAACAACCACCGCAGCCGTGGACTTCAAAAGGTTGGGGTTCGCAGTCAACGTCCAAAACGACTGAAACACGATGCCCTCATCCCTGCAAAAGGCGTACAACTCCGGTTGGTAGTGCCCCATGCGCAAACGATTCTGCACTACAGCCGGCTTAGGCAGTGCTTCACCCTCGTGCTTCACCACCTCACAGAGGGCCCGTAACACGGGGAGCGATACATTCGAAATACCCAAATTGCGAACCTGTCGCGGCACATACGCCGCCATGGCCTTCCACACCCTCACCGTCTCCTCAATCGTAGGCAAAGGCGAATGCAACACCAAACAATCAAGGTACGGTTCCGCCTCCTGCCCGTCCGTCCGGAAATTCTCCAGGCTCGACTCGACGGACTGCCTCACCTGCTCCTCGAGCTCGGCCTTGGGATCGTAGGGCAAGTTATCCAGGTCCTGGCCGCTGACGGGGGTGTACTTTGTCTGGATGTAGAGCTCGGACCGCGACGCGACGATGCCGGATTGGAGGGCGGTGCGGACGGCTTCGCCGACTAGGTGTTCCTGGTAGTGGCGGGGTTGGGCGGCGGTGTCGATGGCGCGGAAGCCGGCGGAGAGGGCAGTCGATACGAGGGCTTTCGTTTGGGCCTTTTTCCAGGCAGTGCCGTAGATGAGGCGGGGGATGGCGGTTTGGTGCCCGCCTTGGAGGGTGAGCGGGCGGGTGAGGGATGAGGTTCCGGCCATGATTTTTGAACTTGAGAGTGTGGTGAAGTTGTATAATTTGTTGCGTATGGAGCGGGAGGTGTGTTATTTGAGATGTAGGATCTGAGGATGGATCAAGGTATAGGGCGAGCGATGGGAGCGATGTCGATGATGAAGGTGACGACGAGGCTGGCGATGACGTCTTGAGGCTTGGAAAATCGACCCCGCCGCGGGGTAAAATTGTTCAAAATTCAGGGAAGGAACGACACAGTTCTCAACCAGTTGAACCAGATCACGGAGCTCGCGTTGAATACGAGGGAATCACTGGATAACCCGATTTATGGAGCCTCTATGGGCTCTGATTACGATTGGATCATCGGGGACTTACATGGTTGCTTCTAATAAATTCACTGGTATGGCAGAGCCATAAATTTGCGCAACCAAGCACAATTCAAGGACTTCAATAGCAATTTACACCGAATGAGAGTTATCTACACGTCGTCGTAAGGCCGGAGATAATCCTTCCCCGATAGTTTATAAGGATGGAAGATGGAAGTCATGAGAACGAAGCCGGAAGTTATCACAGACCCCGTCGAGATGCATGCTAGACCGATCCAGTCATCCGTCTAAACCCCAATCATCCAAAGCTATTTTAACCTCCAATGGCGCTCAAGTCACCTCAACCGAGAGACTAGAGCGCCTGTCGTCCATTATCCGCACCAAACCGAAAGGAATGATAGCAACCACCCCCCAACCCCATCCTATCCCACGCAGACTATGCCCGCAAGCAAATCCTGGGCCAAAACGCTTGCCGGCATTTGTGGAAACTGGGTCTGGTCTGGCTAGTGTGACGTTGCTGCGCCAGGACGGAACGTAGGCCCCGCGAACCGATGTGGGATGAACGGCGGGGTCCCTGTAGTAACAAGGAAAGGGCAGAGATGAGCTCCGCTCCGCGACGTCTTTGATTTACCCCGCCAGGTCCATTTCGCGATGCCATTGAGCTCTCGTGGATATTTCATTCCTACTTCATTCCCATCGCAAACCCATTGAACTCTCCAATTCATCTTTTCTAACTACCCAATTCTTCGTAAGGAGTCTTATACACCGTGGATCGTGGAATTCATACATTCAATAAACAACAAACACCTAACAGCTCATCTACGTCCGACGCAATCATGGCAACCGGAGCTCCCTACACTGTGAAATGGGGCATCATGGCCACCGGCTGGATCGCCGAGGGTACTAGAAAACTCATAATCATATTGCCCTCATTTCTACTTTCAAAAAAAAACGATGGCTGACCGTCTACTCCTCCAGTCTTCAGCAGGGACCTCCTCACCAACCCCGCCACCCGCTCCGTCCACGACGTCGCCCACACCATCACAGCCGTCGCCTCCCTGCAGGGCCCGTCCCGCGCCGCCGACTTCCTCAAGAAGATCGACGGCCCCGCGGACGCCGCCACCTACGGCACCTACGCCGAGCTCGTGGCTGACCCCAACGTCGACATCATCTACGTGGCCACGCCGCATAGCCACCACTTCCAGAACGCCATGCTGGCTCTCGAAGGCGGCAAGAATGTGCTCTGCGAGAAGGCCCTGACTGTTACGGAGGCGCAGGCGCGGAAGCTTGTTGAGAAGGCTAGGGAGAAGGATCTTTTCTTTATGGAGGCTGTGTGGACGAGGTACTTTCCTTGGAGTATTAGGATTAGGGAGCTTGTTAAGGAGGGTGCCATTGGCAAGGTTCACAGGGTCATTGGTGGGTTTACTTTCTTCTTTTCTTCTTTTTTTTCCCCTGGTACCTTGGCGCCCCTCTTCTTCTTCACCAACTACATTTAGAAGGATTTTACTATCCGTCTCTGTTAAGAGGACCGACTAACACCGTTACAGCTGACCTGTCCATCGCTGAGGCCAATGACGACGGCAGCCTCACCTTCCCTGAAACCAACCGCATGATCAACACCCAGCTCGCCGGCGGCGCCCTTCTCGATCTCGGCATCTACTCACTCACCTGGGTCTTCCAAATCCTCTACCACCTCCAACCCCCCGCAGAAAAAGAAGCCCCGCAAGTCCTCGCCGCCGTCACCAAGCACACCACGGGCGCCGACGACCTCACGTCCATCATCACGCACTTCCCCAAGCACAAGTCGACGGGCATAGCCCTCACGTCTCTGCGCGTCGGCACCGACCCGGACGGCTCCAACAGCGGCGGCCCCTCCATCCGCATCCAGGGCACCAAGGGCGAGATCGCCGTCATCGGCCCCGCTTACCGCCCGGAGAAGTACCAGGTCATCAAGAAGGGTGGCGGCGTCGAGACTTTCGAGTGCGTCGTGCCCAAGGATGAGGCGCGGGGCTGGGGACATGGGATGTTTTGGGAGGCGGATGAGTGTGCGCGGTGCTTGAGGGACGGGAAGAAGCAGAGTGATTCGATGCCTTGGGAGGAGAGTGTCGTTATCATGGGAGTTATGGAGAAGGCTTTGAAGGCTGGGGAGGTGGAGTATCCGGAGCTCATCACGACGGACGTTTTTGATCCGCAGAGCCCGCTTAATGTGGGTAAGGCGTGAGATGTTGGGAAGAACCGATGGTGAAAGGGGGGGTGTGTAAAGAAAAAAAAAAAAAAAAAAAAAAAAAAAAAAAAAGAAAAAAAAAGAAAAGACAGAAAAGAAAAGGACAGAATGGGTCGTCTGGCACACGGCCAGACCCCCCAAAAAATGGCAAATTTGACTTGTGTCGTATGTTTTTGTGTAACGACCGAGGATTGGGATGAACGGTGACTATGCTCAACATGTAGAATCGAATCATGTTCTCCTCGGGCGTTCGTGAACCGTTTTCCGGAGATTTTGAGGCAAATGGAAGGTGAATTCCGGGTATCAGTAGGCTGTGTAAACTATGCAAACCACCCACCCAAGATCACGACCCGTCAAGGCTGAAGCAGCACAAACGAAGCATCATGATGGTCTCAGTGTCAGATCCAAATCCTATGCGCCCATTAAATCACGTATAAGATGCGCGTCGCAACCGAAAAAGCCAACCCCGTCCACCCATCCAACCGCGGATACGCCCTTCCCACCCTCCAGACAAAGGAAACAATCTTCACGGACAAACGGGTTCGTATCCACATCCGCAGACAAACTCCAAACAATCTTCCAAACGAACCGAGCCTCAACGAACCTGTTTCCAAACCCATCTGCATCTACGGACAATCTTGACCTCGGTTAACCCTGGGGGAAAGAATAGAAGCAGAAATGTGGCTCGTCAAACCAGATCCAGAAAGTGAGGAGAATCGGGAGGGTCGTCCCTCTTATAGCGGACGCCCCCTCCATCTTCGGTCCCCCGTGTCCTACGGGATCGCTGTTTTGTTTACCGGTAATGAGGGATCATCTTCGCTTGTCAATGGGATCTGTAGGTTTATATTCTCGCAACGGCTTATGAATGTGTCAATTCCGGTAGCGAGGCAATGCCGACGCCCAGAAGCGGAAACACTCTGGAGGCGAGGTTTGGGTCGTACAGCGGCGTTTATGTTTTGCAAAGTGCAGGAAAAAGGAAAATCGTAGATTCCCCGATCGGGGAGGATCCCAGATATCTTTCCTTTCATTCTGCTGCAGGAGCTACATTGTTTGAGCAGTTCACCGAGATATGCAGAAGCGAGATCAAATGATTTCAAGGAACCATGGGGTGTGCAGCGAACAGACAGGACCATCAAATTCCACGCCTATGCCTTGGGTGCATCAGGGCAATTAAGGACAATGTACTGTACAAAGTGATAATATAGTGAGAATTGTTTCGGAGAAGGGGGGGGAGGGGTGGAATGGAGATGGAGATGGAGATCGTTTTGCACTCGCGGGATCGCCATCTCGTTTGAAAACAGGGACCCTTTACGCATGGTTTGGCGAAGCACGAAGAGGCAGTTCATGGTCCATGCAGGTACCAAAGCACACCTAGCGACTAACGGGTATTAAACCAAAGGGGGGAATGGATAGAGCAGAAAAGAAAATACTCAATCGATTCTGGTACGATCAGCCTTGGCGGGATTGGGCATCTCGCTCCGTAACCGAGTCCCTTCCACGTCCATATTCGGTTCGGCTATGAGCCGCTGACGACATCAAGGTTACTTTCCTTCTTTCTGTCAACGACGACCCGTTTCATGGATCATGGATTGCCACAGCACAACCCGTAGTTGGCCATTAACACTACCTCGTACCTGGTGCTTCGTAATGACTACTACATCTTCACACGACGAGGTAGGATCGAGGATTCCAACTCTACTGGACCGACGTCGTATTGGCATCGACAGATGTTTCTTGTCAGGTAGCATCGCGTCGTGTAGACAGGGATTGCGAAACAAGCCGTCGGGTCCGCGCTGCTGTCACTCTATCACTCTCTACTACTTCGCAAACTACTACTTCCGGATGAACAGGAAGGCCATGATCGTGACGAGTCCGAGGCAATGAGTGGAGCTGGCCAGCGAGGGTCCGCTCCCTGGCTCGTTTTGAGTCTAGTAAACTAGGTGTTTGTGAGCTCGTATGAACAGACCCTCCCGACTCCAGTTCGTGACTGGGGAGAGCTTCACCTCATGTCGCCCCTTGCTACGGCCAGAGTTCATCCGGACCTCTCTAACTCGGCGCACTAGCTTGCCGAAGGGGAAGCCAAGCCTAGAGTTCAGAGAGCCATGAGTCGATAGTTTGAGAGCATGAGAGTGTGGGGAGCATGATGACCGTCCAGGGACCGAAGTCTGCCCACCGCCTTTCTTTTTTTTTTTTTTTTTTTTTTTTTTTTTTTTCCAGCAACCTCCCTCGGGCGTCGTATTGCGCTAGACACCGAAATCGTGAAGACGAAGACTCTGGCTGGTGGGCCTTGTTCGCGCCAATTTGGGTAACGTACCACTGTCGCCGTCCAGAATTGATCAGTTAATTGATCACTTCGTGTCTTTTATTTCCTCTCTAATACTTAAATGAGCGTTTCTGAAACACGTCAACGCTGAGGCTAAATCCAACGCTGCACCCAGGATTCTGGGAAGGAGGTCCTGTCGCACCTGGAACCGGGTTTTATTGAGGTTGAGGGCTCAGTCGCGTGCTTCGTGCCTGGCTCTGAAAGGTAGCCATGCTGGCAGTAATAACACCAATCCCCAATCCCGCTGCACTCGACACGGTCGATCAAGAAGATGGAGGCGACATTGAATACTTGGCTAATCGGTTAATGTAGTAAAATTTCTCCTGGCTTCAGTGTGATGCGATACCGGGCTAGAGCAGCAACATTAATAGATAACCTATCGACCCGCACATTCTGTTTTGGTCGCCTGCAGGACTGCAAAACGGAAGCGATCGACGACGCAGAATCGAGACAGACGGGGTCTCTTGAGATCAATGATCAATCAAATACTTCTAGAACCACTGTTGCAGCGCATAGCGCCTTGGTACCCGAACCACTTTTCTACAGACGCCTGGCGAACGGGTGCTGATCAATCATGATCTGCTCCAGCACGGTTTGCATCAAGATTTGGTGTGGTTCACGTTTAGTTGCCTGCCATCAGCGCCAATCAAATCCACCAACGGTCACCGAACAGAGCCACTGGTTCCCTGCCCCAGCGCCGCCTTGCTGCCCTGTGCCCCAGTAAAGAATATAGTGACATCTCGACTATTCGCCTGGCTACGGACCAACCTCACGCCCGCGTATCACATATCAGCCTCCATTATCACCGCTCACTCCCTGCCTCGTTGAGAACCACGCTTCACTGTTCCCTTTTCAATCGTTTCCCGGAAATCTCGTTAAAAATTCGGGCACGGTTAGCCTCACCCCAAACCTTATTTCAAACTTCACTCCTTCAAATCGGATCCACTCGATCAAAACCCGGCATGAACCATTGAGGTTATCGTTGATAATTCGCCCCCCCCCACACCCAACAACAATTTAGGCCGCGATAAGCCTCGACAGGATATTACCATGAAGTCATTTCTGGCCCATCGCCTTGAACTTCTTCGGCGCACCCCGTTACTTTACCAACTCTGCTGCCATTGCAAGCCTTCATGCCTTTCGACGTTTCCATGGGTTCTTGGTGGCTGGGATTGGGTTGATATGCTCCATTTTCCAAGCCATGAGCCGTTATTGATTAATGCCATAAAAATCATATCATCCCCCGCCAAAGTAATGATATCAAATCCATTAACACATTGATACCTCAGTGACCTGTGCCATTGCCCATGAAACCCATAGAAAAAATACTCCGGCCCCGGGTCCCCGGAGAAAAAAAAATAACCCTTGTTCCCACAAAATACCCCGACAAGAAAAAATAACAAACAAGGGTTCCCATCTACACCCAAAACCCAAACCTCCCAACCAACACAACAAATTAAAACGCCCAATGGCCCCGCCACAGACCCCTCCAGGGCCCGAGCCCAAGTTCACGTCCAGGCCCGGCCCCGGTTCCGAACCGCGCCCCGCCGCTCCCAAACTCACCCAACCCCCGGTCCGTGACTCTGCCACAGCCACAACCACAACCACAAACAACGACAATCCCAGTTCATCATCATCATCACCACCACCACCATCATCAGGACCCTCCCTGGAAGATCCCAACCCAGACCCAAGCCCAGACTCAGACCCAACCCATTACGAACAAACCCACGTCCACGCAGTCTACGAATCCATAGCCCCCCACTTCAGCCAAACCCGCCACAAACCCTGGCCCTTCGTAACCTCCTTCCTCAACTCCCTCCCCAAGGGTTCGCTAGGCCTCGACGTCGGCTGCGGAAACGGGAAATACATCTCCGTGAACCCCGACCTGACCATCCTGGCCTCCGATCGCAGTCCCGCCCTCTGCCGCCTCGCGCGAGAAAATACGCGCGGCTTGGATCCGAACCCTAAAAACGGCGCCGACGTCTGTGTCGCCGATTCTTTGGCTTTACCTTTTCGGCCCGGATGTGCTGATTTCGTTATTTGTATTGCTGTCGTGCATCATTTTAGCACTCCCGAGAGGAGGAGGGAGGCTATCGCTAGGCTGCTCGATTGTGTTCGCGAGGACGGGCGCGTGCTCGTCTATGTGTGGGCGCTGGAGCAAAGGGCGAGTCGGAGGGGCTGGGACGAGGGCGGGGAGCAGGATCTTCTCGTTCCTTGGGTTATGAGGGCGAAGAAGGGAGACGGCGGTTCTGATGAGACGTATCAGAGGTATTATCACTTGTATCGAAAGGGAGAGCTTGAGGAAGATGTTGTCGCGGCGGGCGGAAAGGTGTTGGATACGGGCTACGAGAAGGATAACTGGTGGGCTATATGTACAAGATAGATGGGTATGAGAAGTAAAAAATAAATAAATAAATAAATAAAATAAAATAAACAATAAAAAAATAAAAGGAAATAAAAAATAAAAGGAAAAGACAAAGAGAAAATAAAATCCCAAAAAATATAACCAAAAATAAAAGAACGGAGGAGAAATGGAGAAATGTCGCGCTGGATGGTGCTTCGAGCTCTTCCAACCCCAAAGTCACATTGCAACTCTGTGTCTAGTCTGCCTTGTCATCTATCTCTCAACTATCTAGCAAACCTCTTTATGCCTCGCTCCTCTTTTGCTTCCAAGTTTTGCCGCCATTTCATTTCATCTCTCAGAACTGACTCGGTGATGCGTCTCGAGTACTAGGGGGAAAAAATAAGAAAAAAATAAAAAAAATAAAAAATAAAAACAAAGCAGAAAGGTATACGTGATGGGAGGCAGAAAATCAACAGCTTTAATCGAAAATAATAACGTGAAAATAAATAAGCAATACATGAAATGATGGTTAAAACATATTAAAGAAGACATACCGAGAAAAGAGGATTAAAGGAGTGGAAAAGAAGAAGAAAGGAAAAAGTCGAAGACGGGAGCAGGAAAAGCAAAAAAGGGAAGAAAAAGATAAACATCTGACCCGCAAGGTTAATTGATCCCTCGCCCATCAACTGCCAAGGCCATGCCCCGTTCCCGCTCTAGTTCCAAGGAAATTTTACATTATTCCGCGCATACATGATGTTCCGAAGCCAGGTCCCCTCCCGTCCGTATTACTCTAACCACCGGGGCCGAAACCCCCGACAGACCAATGCCCAACCAACTCCTCTGCGGCGCCAGCCAAAATGCACCATAGCCCTTTGCCAGATACTCTTCTCCCATGACGCCGTGTGGTTGTCTCTCATCCACCGCAGTGGGTAATGCCTCTACCTCGCGGGCCTCTAATCGCGCTGGAGGAGGACGCCGGTAGGTGGGGGATGGAAGCATCAGTGCGTCCTCACCCGTCTCTTATCAGTGTATATCCCGACTACCCCAGGCAACAAAACCCTTTCTCCCGTCCCACTCGTCTTGTAAAATCATGCTGTACCCATGTTTAGCACCAGGCTTTTGCTCATCATAATAGACGACGGAAATCCCGGAATATGGTGGATGGTGAAATGTTTCCAGAACGCTTCAAACCCTCCTTTGTCTAATGCATGAAAACCGTTCGAGCATGCGAAAAGAAAATACGTGCCTCTGTTTTTAGTACCCCGACTCCGAAAAGCGCCTTAGTCGTTGCGTCAATAGCGTCGTTAAGTCGAAACCGACCCCTATTCTTCTTCATCTCTTCATCGTTGCTGGCTTCCGCGAGCCTCCATCCTCTAGTTTTCTCTTAGAGGCAAGGCAGCGACGGATCTCCAATCCTAGCGCTTAATCATGTCCAGTTTAGTGCATAGACCTCCGATCTACCTCCTCGTACCGGAGGTCCATATGCCTGGGCCGACTCGTCTCTCTATGCATCATCCCTGGGCTTCCAGGACGCTTTGAGCCTCCTGGGGGTTCGGCGGGTTGATAGTGAGGAACACCAGGCAGGTAAGGACTGCCCACTGCACTATGGACAGGGCTTACACTGTGCATCCCCATCGAGTATGCCGGCGTGCTGTAAGGGCTCACCCCCGTCGTGAGCTCCGCGATACCAGGTAGCATTCCCGACCCTCGACCCTGGCTTGCCGGTAGGTGGATTGGGGCAAGGCCTGGCCCGTGTCCTAGATCTGGAGGCATGGGGGGTCTCTCCATAACATCAGGGGGCATCGGGGGGCGGGCGGGAACACTTTCTCGACGACTCGGGCCTCCTCGACTCGGCGGAACGGGCACCATCTGGCCACGTCCGTATCTCGAAGACATTCCGGGATCTCGAGAAATGCTTCCATGGGAGTGTGCATGGCTGTGGCCCCGTGAAGGAGAGTGTCTTCGGTGGCTGCTAGAAGGGTCGTTCGTGCTAACTGTCGTAAGGGAGAATGGCACTACTCCCGCCCGCCGCGCCATCTCTGCCTCGCCAAGCTGCCAGTGCATCGCCTCGGCTGCTCTCCATGGTACAGCCATCTCTTCAGCCACTCTCGCCCACATTTCGGGTTTGAATCTATTCATTGACGAGTTAGCCTCCAACCCGGCAAAGTTGGAGATGGAAAAATACGCATGCGGAACCCAAGTTAAGAAATTTGCTGAAGCCACCTGTTTACCAAACCCAAAGCGTGTCCTTCCACCAGCGATGCAACCTTGGGTGACCTGCTTACCTTTCGTATAACCTAGCAAGTTTGTTCTTTCGTTCTTCGTCCCACTCACTTCGCCTCTCGAGGTAGTTCTGGTAGTGTAGTCGGCAACTAATAGCGCTCCGACCGGGGAGGCGCTTGGAGATGTCCTCCCATTTCATTCCACTCCCACGAAGTTCGATAATGAGAGCGTCCTCTTCCGCAGACCACTTGCTCTGCTTTTTCGCTGGAGATTCGGCTGAGTGCGGCCCGAGGCTGCGCTTCGCCGCCATCGCCGTCGTAGTACTGAGCGGAGGAAGCGAACCGGTAGAAGGTTTAGCCCTCGCCGCAAGTGGGGCAGGCGGAGGCGGTGGTGGGTACGGGTGAGCTGCTATGGCTTGGTGAGAAGGTGGAGGTGGAGGTGGAGGAGTAGCATACGTCGCCGCAGCGACCGGAGGAACAACCGTGACAGCCGTGGTGGGCGGTTGCTCGAACGGCGTCGAGGCTGGGCGCGGAGATTGGAGCTTCGTTGTAGGAGACGCCGGGGACTCCTTTGAGTCGGAACCCTCGAGGAGTGAAGCGATATCCACCGTGACGGTTATATTATCCCGGGAGCAGAGGCTCGGGGCACTCTAGGTTATTCGACGATGGTAGTCTGAGATCGAGGCCGTTGTGCGGCGCGGGAGATTCTTGAGGCGAGGTAACACCACTCCCCGCTGTGAAGGCGATCCCCGAACCTGGGCCAGCGAAACAGGTAACAACAGGAGGGTAGTACAGGCGAGTCTGGAACAAGAGAGTAAACTGCAGGAGGGACGTTGAAGACAGACGGCTATGTGTGTGATTGCGATCGCGGGGGGGGTGCGAGATATTAGTTGCGCCGTCCCTCGACGTGGAGGACACACTTTGATGAACGGATGAGGAGGGAAACTTGATGCGACCACGGTATATTCTCTTGCGGAGTGTGTTGAGAATTTATATGTTTTGATAGAGAATGTGATTTGGACTGAGTGCGAGGGAGGGATGGCCAGGAGTCGGAATGGGGAAAAACTCTGACCGTCCTGCCCTCGGATGTGCGTATGCGTGTACCGACTCTATGGTTGTTGGTTGAAAAGGGCGAGAAGGAATGGTTAGGTGGTCAACGGAGAGAACGACTTGAACATTACTACTGTGTTGTCTGTATTACTATGATTGGCGTGCGCAGGTGAGCTAATCGAAGGTGGTGGTGGGTTGTAAGCTGTGCTTGAGGCAAAAACTGCTGGGGAACCAGCTCAGAGTAAGGCGGTCAACACCAGGTGAAGTGGTTGAGGAGAGATCAGGCTATTGCTTGAGACCTGGGTGTTGCAAGGTGAGAGGGCACCTGTCGCGGCGATGTCATTACACGATCTCTTCTCTCTTGCAAGGAGATGACTGGGCATGAATAGAATGGGGTTGGTAGTTTGATGACGGAAGGTCAAAGTTCAAGAACAAATTCGAATACTGAGAGGTAACGAATACAGAACGGTGCTGAGATAAAGGAGAAAGGAAGGACAGGGGATATTAGAGCAAAACCATGGATCCTAACCACGAGGCATGCTAAAGAGAACGACGGATCTCGTCTTGTGAGTGTGAGTTTGTGGTCTTGAAGAATCAGACGGCAAGGATATGCTGCGTAGATGGGGAGGGAGGGGGTCTATAAACCACACCAAGGGCAGGTGTGCCTCTCAGCAAACAGGACTGAAGCTTGGGCGCTTTTTGGAACTCGTTATACCCTACTCCCGAACTTTAAAGGACGAGAGTGGACGGGAGTATGTTCTCCAGCCCTGATGAACGGATGGGGGCCGGGGGGGCAGGGCGTAAGAGGGGTGTGGATGGAGGCGTGGATAGTACTTCGCAGTTGAGCTGCTTGCAGTAGACGTGGGAGAGAGGATGTGCTAGAAGTAAGCTAGGTCGATCGTGATGAGGTCACGAAGGTGGGCTCTCGGCGAGGAGAGATTCCTACAGGGAAGCGCGAAACGTTTCTTCCATAAAAGAGTAAGGGAGGGTCTATAGTGACTGCGACTTATAGGCTGGGACGGTGTAGTTATATCCACTGGGACCGAGTGTGTAAGTCATCAAGCAGAACGAAAAAGCAGAACCCGTCCGCGTGCATGTACTTGTAAGGTTCGCAAAAAAGTAGTTAGCCGCAGCCAGACCGACTGGGCTTTCCAATTGAAATACCATTAATGCCAAGGACCATGTAGAAGGGCCAGGATTACAGGAGGCGATGCCTTGGTATCCACACACGTACTGCTTGATACCCTGGGGAACCCACACGGGGGACGGGGGTAGAAGTGGAGAGAGCAGACACCACCCCCTGATGCTGGCTGGTGGACTAAGAGAATCCTCCAGATGTACTGTACCATTCACAACCATACGGAGCCATGGGGTGAGTTGGAGTCGTGTGTGCAACAACCACCCTTGCTTGATAAATGCACCCCCGTTTCGGGCTCTGCAGCTTCGGACTCTAATCCTATAAATTTGGACCCTGGGAAGACCCAGACCCTCTGGGAAAACCGGGATCGACCTACAAAATGCCGACTGACCGGGCCTGAACCAGGCGAGGGGGGGAATAAGTGAGCATTCAGTGGTATGAGGGAGGAGCAGACTCCATCGGCGGGGAGATGTTTTTCTCCAGCAATACATCTTGCAATACAAGACCAAAGAACTAGCCGGATGGAGAGTCTCTTGGTGAAGGAGGATGGACAGACAGTTGGTGTGGTGACCTCACTGGACTCTAAACAGTGGATTTCTTTTTCTTTTGTTTTTCTTTTCTTTGGGGGGAGGGGAGGGGGTTGTGTTAAGGTTTAAATGAGGGCGTGGGGTTTGGCGTTTGGATGACCGAGGAGGGAGTGACAGGCTGAGGGCGGACAAGGGGAGGGTTGAAGGAAATCTGCTGGATAAGATGCTGAACGAGTGGAGGAGTAGAGGCAGGTGCACCTTGTGAATGGGGCAGGTCTCGAAAAAGAAGTCTCCCATGGACATGAACCAGGTTGCTAGCTAGAACAGTCGCCTAATTGACCCTCCAGTTCCAGAAGACAACTGGGACAGAAATTAGACCCCAGTGTGGGGGGCAATCATCAATATGCCACTGATCAACTACACTAGTGTAGACCAGAAAATAGGGCTGGTTGGCTGCAGGCGGACTCAATCGAGAAGCAGATTTCGGCTGGCTAGGCGAGAGCGGCGATCTGTATGATACGTCCTGAAACGAGAGGCGCTGTGAACCCTAACTGCACGAGCAAGCCGCAGGAGGACGAACTTAACCCGAAGGTGACAGTTCGAAGGAGGGGTGACAGCGGGGAAGTGACTGTGCCCCAAGTCTGAGCACCCAAATAAGGTCAGCAGTCATCGCACTGATTTCGTTTTTGCTCTCCCCCTTTTTTTATTGCCCTTGTCTTTAGGGATGATTTATTCTCAGCAGCAAGTCTGGGTGGAGGAGCCGAATTTTGCAGTCGCTCTTGAAGTTTGCATGATGCCCCCGATGTGGTTCTCATGTCTCCAGCGGGGCCATTGTTTCTTGGTCTCGACGAATCGAAAGGATGATGAAAGAAAATCCCTCCCGAGAGCCCCGGCCGCGGTTTGCTTTACAGGTGTGTCAGGTTGGGGTAGTACCTTTGCCGACTCTTTGGGATCCCTGCCACAGCGAAGTTTGTATTACTTCGTAGGCCCGGACCCAAATTGGTGTCCTCTCAGTGTTTAAGCCATCGGTAGCGAGATGGTGCTCACGAGCCGACATCGAACTGAGGATCCGATGATCCCTTGCAAGCGAGCGTCCAAGCTTTATTGCTATTAATGTGCTCGGGTCCCTGTGTGGGAAAGCAAGTTTCGACCGGCGAACCTCTCGAGACCAGTAATACTACGCTTGCGGTGTTTGTGAGCATCAAGGGGCGAGGATCACCGAAGGAACCGCTGGAGCGCAGGTTTGAGACCCAGCGTTGTCTGTGCACCCGACACATACACTTGTTCTCCGAACGGAAACGCATCGTTGGTGTTGGCAGTATTAGATGCTGGATGCGATTGGATAAGATTCGACCACCGCAGTGGTTCCCTTTTCGGCGTCATTTTTGGGGAGGCCGGGTCGGCGGCGGAGGAGGCGGAGAGAGTGCGTGGCAGACATAAATCGATGCTCCTATTGACCGGTGATTGATGTCGATGTGCTGGAAGCCAATTCGAAGCTGCCAGGCGAAGGACGAATTACTGAGATCGGTATTACCACACAATGTTCGAAGGTATTGCACATGTTAGAGTGGGTACGAAAGCCCTGAGGTGTTCCCGCGCTAGCCAGCCAACTCCTTCCCTGGAATTCTGACAAGAATCATGTGGCAGACCCTTAACACGACGAACACTGATTGCCCTTTCCACGAATCGATGAGATGTCGTAATATTACCGTATATTATACGCCACCATTATCATTCGCATTATATGGGGAAGGCCCAACACTCGTGGAAGTTATTTGACATCTTATAGATGTCAATTCTAACTCTTTTTCCTCTTTTGTATCAATATTGCTGTCTTAAGAAGCCTGTTATGGAACCTTCAGATTACATTTGAGGTTCCAACATTGATGCACTATCAGGGCGAACACGAGTCACATCTTATCTCGGAGCGGCTATCGTACTTTCTTTATTTCCGAGGATGGACAATGAAATAATCGTTGAACCGAGTCTCACGTCTCAGTCTTGGTGCTCCGCTCCGGTCGAGTCCTGGAACAAAGTGGGGTGTGGAATGGAGTGCGATTGACTTTTGATTGATGTCTCGTGGAGGTTTGCTTGCAATCCCAGCCCTTAAACGCTGCGCTACAGTGCTGCCGCGAAGCGTGTGAAAACCTCAATTAATCATCCAAACCGTCAATATACAGGTACTTCGTAATGCGGACTCATTGATGGGAGACAGGTATATTAGTCGTGATGTTTACTCTCCTTCCCCCGAATATACCGACTTTACAAGAGAGCTTGCATCAGATTACATGTTGGCTATCAGGATAATCCCCCCTTCCCCTTCCTCTTTCCCCCCGTTTTACGTCACAGCCAGTGGTGGGGCCTGCTTGTCAACAAGAGGCTATCTTGCCTTGCACCTGACGCTAGTTCGGGGTCAGTTCCATATTAATTGTCAATTTTCGGGCGCGCTTTCTCCATTATTGTTCTACGGAGTTTCCATAGAAGGCATGTCGCACGTTCTCGGCAGGCCGAAGTTTTCGATTTGGCTTCCTGTGGTGCAATGTAGAGAATCTGTCATCTGGAGGCGCCTGCAACTGGTGCTCCTGCACCTTCCCCCTTGTCGATCGATGTACACGATCCTCCCCACCGCAGGGCGCCAGAGCCCAGCCTGAAGCCCCAGGCCGGCCACCACAATGTACTCCGTAATTACACCGCAGCGGGGTTCCGAATGATGTTGGCGGAAGTTGGCGATGGAAACGGCCACGCCCGGAGGCTGGAGTGACTGGCTAGCGCAAGACCAGTGATCAATTAATCAACTATCCTGGGCTAGGTGCTTGCTCGTTCGTGCCAGCTTACACGGCTGGCTCCAAGCCTGCACGGCAGCACGGCAGCACACAGCAAGCAGCACGCAGCAACCCTCATGTCCAGTCATCATTGCTTCAGATGTGAACTAGCGGTCAGCTCACGCAAATCTCAACAATGAAGGAGCACCCAACGACTGGGATCAAGATCCAGTGGCACCATAGGTAATAGTCCCCTCCATCCATCACGATCACATGAGTTGAAGCACCGTACTTGTGTATCGATCCATTGATTGATCCACCTCCACTCACCTCCGCTAACTTAGTGTTCTACACCGGACACTTGATCCTGCATCCTGTGCGAGACTGGGGCTCGATGAGCATCTCCGGTCTCATCGATAGCCCCCGTCATCAAACCGGTGTGAGAGCTCCTGCGTAGCATCCCGCCATTATCGATATGCCATGCCGAATTGCACATTGAATGCATGAGAATAAACACCCTGAAGAACCCTCAGCTCCTCAGGTGCTCCCTAGTCTAGCATGTCCAGCCCGAACGTCAGGTCCAAAGCGGCCCATTCAGCCTCGCTTATCGTGCTCCGAAGTCCCCTGGAGATAATTGGAGGATGCATTGTGAGCCCCTCGTTGATCCTTTGTTAAAAGCCCTCACTCACTTCGCAGGCATC